TTATGATTTAATATTTGTACGAAGCATTACGAATGAATAGCATTCATAATAATAACATCAGTACAAATTTACTTTATTTATCTTAAACTGTAATTTATAATGCTGGATTTTTGTTAACCGCCTTTTCGTTTTCTTATTTGAACTTTGTTATTTATTGAAATTATTGTTTTTGTTTCAAAAATGTGTTTATTGAATTACAAATTTTTATTATTATTGTGGCACAAAAAAACCCTATCTTTATGCTACGAATGATCAGTGGACGAGCGATTGAAATGAGGAAAGACTTGTTTATATGTTTTGTCAATCACTCTAAAGCTGTTGATGGCTTGAAACACGTGGAGCTCATGGAAGGATTTGAAAATTTGGACATTGATGGAAAATACACGAGAGTTATCAAAAACCTCTAATGGCAGGGCCGGATTAACATATTCAGAAGCCCTAAACTCTATGTCCACACAACATAGACCGTGGTCCGTTGACATTGTTAGTTAATTAATATGACTAATTCATCTCAAATGAACATCACGCTAGTTTATGCAACAATTTAGTAATTGCAAAAACTTGTGGTGGCTCGTTGCGGTGCCCCTTTTCATGCGGTGCCCTAAGCACGTGCTTAGGGTGCTTATTGCTTAATCCCGTACTGTCTATTGGGAACAAAGAGCAGCGATGAAAGTTGGTGACAAGAAGACTAGTTTTGTCGAAATGAAGAAAGATGTTAGGCAAGGCTGTATATTCTCTCCAGACCTGTACAATCTCTATAGTAAGATCATCATAAGTAAGATAGAAGATCTACATGGAATATTCATTGGAGGCGTGAATATTATCAATGTAAGATATGCCGATGATAATGGAAAAATTGCAAGCAATTGTTTCCAAACTGGTTTTTGAAAGTGAAAAGAAAGGCTAGCAAATTAACATCAACAAAACAGAGTGCATGGTTATTAGTAAAAGCAAAACCGCCCCGATCTGCTCTATAATCATTAATGATAAACAGGCGAAACAAGTTAGCAGCTTCAAGTATCTCGGAAGTCTGATTACCTCAGGTTCTAAATGTGATGTAGATATCAAAGGGAAAGCTATGGCAAATGATGCATATTCTAAAATAAAAAACATCCTCACCAACAGTAAAATCAAAAAAGGAAAGCTATAGCAAATGATACATATTCTAAAATAAAAAACATCCTCACCAACAATAAAATCACAATATCAGCAA